TACAGCTATGCTAATCTAAATGACTGGTGCAATGTCAATATCATACGTTTAATTTCACACAAAAATTTCAGTCCCCATAGGTATGAATATACAACATACATATATATATATATATATATATAGAGAGAGAGAGAGAGAGAGAGAGAGAGAGAGAGAGTGGGTCTGAAGGTTTCCAAACCACAACACAACATCATATGCATTGTAGACACCGCAACAAAAGTGAATACAACAAGAAGTTGATTAAAGATATGGATGGGAAAATTAATTAATTGTATTTTTTTTGGATTAATTAGAACTTAATTAAGTAGGGCCTTGATTGATTCATAGCAGGCCTTACATGGTATGATCATAAAAGTTCATGTACAAAAACGGTTATTTTGTACTACTATAGTATTAAATACATGTTTAGGTATATTCTACTACGTGGTCTCTCAACTAATCACTAGTTCTTTCGTTTTCTTTTTTTCTTTTTCTTTTTTTTTTATTTTAAATTTTTGTCTTATATAATCAATATTTAATTATAATTGTTTTTGTTAAATTAGATGTATTAACCTAAAATTCCCTGACTTAATTGTATTGTAATAATTTATAATTAGTCATCGAACCTTTTCTTCAAAGTTTATGGGATTTTCTCAAAGAAAAATGATATAAACATCAAAAAAAAAAAAGAAGATAAACATCCACAACTCACAAATGGTACAAAATCGATGAATTTTTGAATCATTATTTTTTCTAATATAAGAATTAAGTTTTTTGCTACCAAATTTTCCCGATGTCACTGTTGGATATATTTTCGATAATTGTTTAGTATATATGAAATGAGAGACTGTATGTGTTAAGTGGAGGTTATGAAATATATTTTAATACACCTGACGTTACCACCGTTGATATATATATGTATATATGTATATATTTTTTTGACATTAGTGAAGATCATGGTGAATTCAATCAAAGCAAAATCTGACTTGTTATTTAAAATTGAATTAACTTTTATCTAATGTTGGCGACTTTTACCACAATGGTGCTAGATTTAGTATGTTTTTGGGCAAATAAGGTCACAATCAACTGCCGAACATTTTTGTCACTTGTATACACTCCATATAATTGTCAGATTAAGTTGTAATTAACCTAAATGTCTTTGTCACCACACCTAATTAATTCCCTAATCCAAAATCAGTATGTTGCTTTAATCTACCAAACACCTGATTAATATAATGTTTCTCTCAATTTGGCGGATGGAGACGCAAAGTAATTTAATTAATCAATTTTTAAATGATGAAGAGTTTGTAAAAATTGACAAATTTAAAATATTTTTAAAAATAAAAATTTATAAATATGTAATTTTTATTAAGTAGAGATAGGAGAATTCTAAAAACTAATGGCATATTTGGAATATGTTATGATATGGTGATATTGTGTGTTTTTGCACGAGAAAGTAAAGCAAATTTCTCAATTTTCCCAAACAAATTTTCAATATCAAATATGATTTCGATTTCTACTCAAAATACTCTTACAACAAAACGATTATTTTGGTATTAACCAGTATTGACAAAAAAACATAATGTCTAAAATATATCGCATGCGAAGCGGACTCTAATTATTTAACTTTAAGATGATGTCTCTATATAGATATATATAAATAAGTATACATCCTATCTATGAAGCACAGACACTTTCAGAAATGAACTGTACCGTGTTGTGTTCATGTTAGATATCGACACTCGTCAGATACTCCTCGGACACGTGTCCGACATTTCATATATGCGTCCATAAATAAAAATAAAAATTAATTATTTTAGACATTTTTCCTACACTTCTTGGATACTTAGGTCGATACTTTAAAATATTTTTAACACAAGTCTAATAGGTAATCTTGAAAATAATATTGATACATTGTAAGGTATTAAATTTTTTTCTTAAAAAAAAAAAATGACATTATGCACATATGATTATAGGCAAAGCATTACATGATATTTGTTCATTTTAAAAAAAAAACACAAAGTAGTGGAATTAATGTATATATAATATAAAAGTCATTAAAACTCTTAGTATAAAAATTAAAAATGAATTAAGTTTTATAATACTATTATTAAGAAATGTATGTAAACAAAAATTTATATTTATATATAATCATGTCTAAATTATACACGTGTCTTACTTTTTAAAAAATTTAGCATATACATGTATCTGTGTTGCATCGTGATTTCACGCTACATAGCATCCTACGTATACATAAAAATATTTTTTCTGTGTGTCAAAATAGATGTCCTATATGTATACGTGAAAATATGGATTGATTTTTTTTAATAATAAGTTTTAGTGCTGGCGATTTTACTAACATGTTGGTTTTACATATTTGTCCTCATCTTTCTCTAATATTACAGTGACCAAGCTTGGTTAACGAGTTCCCAGACCAAAAAATCTGGAACACATCCCAACAACCACTGACTAAAGTCATAGTTTAACCATGATTAAATCAAACCGCATCGCTCTAGTTAACTGAAAAGATGGGTCTCAGACATCTTTTAACTGTGGTTACATGTATATGTATATGATGTTATCATTACTCCGTGGTACAAAGCAAAAGAGAAAAAATCGGTTCCAATACTTAAAAGCTAATTTGACTCCCACTATTTTAATGTTTAATAAATTCTATGCATTTTATAGTAATTTCAAAATAAGAAGGAGTAGTAAAAAACAATTGCTGATTTTGTGATTTTGAAGGAAATCATGCTAACTTGCTTTGTGGCGCGTGGAGGCCACTCTCAATAAAAGATTGTTGGACTTCTTTAAATGGGTTGGTTTAGGTGCTCAAGTGTGGGCCACCCTAAGTCCCAAAATAATAATAATAATAATAAAAATAACACAATTGTACCATGTTCAATTAAGATTGCATTTCCGAATGACAATGGGACGGTTTGGTATGGGAATTTCATTTTCCATCCTTATTTTTGTTTAATTTTTTTATTTTAATAATCGCTTCAAAATAGCACTTATTTTCGTCTTTATTTACATAATCAGTTCTCCAAAATTTTTTCAAATAGGATGGGCCCTGCCAGCATGGGGATTTTTGTCATCCCTACTCGCAGGTTTTCTGTTTTTTTACAAGACTTAAGACATAAAACGAAATTAGGGTTAGAGTTTCCTCGTGTGTGTATAGATATACTTAATTTATTTTAGTAATATAACATAGCATGTATAGGTAATTCAATAAATTTATAATTTATTTAGGGCTGGGTTGGGCAACCCTTTCCCAAAACCACTCCAAATTCCCGTCCCATTTACATAATTGGTTCTCCAAAATTGTTCCAAATGGGGTGGCCCCCGTCAATGTGGAAATTTTTGTCATCTCTTATTGCTTTGAAGTGACATGTCATGCAATGAACCAAAAAAATTTCATTATTTTTCACATAATTTTTTTAAATTTACAAAAGATATACCGAGTATGATAAAAAGTTTTCATATATTATTTATATATATAATTTGTTGAGTGTTCTACACAAATTTTTCCTTTTTTTTTTATCAATTTTTTTTCAAAATATGCATATTGTAGAGACATGAGTACTAGGCTTTGTATTATATGTGAAGATATTAATTACGAAGTATTTTCGTTTAAAAGTGATACATCAAAGATCAAAACTAAATTCATATGCACATGAAAATTATAGTAAGAAAATGAAAACTCAAAAGGTTTGTAATTATATATCTAAAAAAGAATATTCAAGTTTTAGATTTAAATAAAACATGTGAAAATACCAAAGAGTTAATCTAAATAACAATTTTTCATATTTAGCATTAGTAATACTTAAAATCCTCAAGGAGCAAGTGTCTTATGCAAATGAGCATATCAAATAAATTAAGGAAATTTGGATTAAAGAATAAAATACAATGCATTCATGTCACTAAAATGAAATAAGCTAGTGATAAAATAAGTGACAAAAGATGTATATGGTATAAACTTAAGCAACATTAATTAGTGGATAAAAATAGAAGGTAAGATAGCAAAATTAATATCAGATGAAATGATAAGATTTTTCCTATAAAAAAAAATAGATAAACTATAAACATAACTCGTAACATGGTTAATTTGTTTTTCCAACGCTGATAGAAAGTTGTTTAAAGTTTTCAAATAAGTACTTGTAGCTTGATTCTGTTGTGATTTGACCAGTAATAGAAAACATAAGATTCATAAAACAGATTTCAAATAATTCGAAAAAACGTATTTTTTGTTGCTCTTGAAGTACCATTATTGGCACTCTTGTCTATCGCATTAAAAATTCTAAATACGTGGAATAAAGGGATGCAAGAAATAGAGTGACAATTGGAGTGCAACTAATTAAATAATCTCCATTTTAATTCTCAAAATGATCAAGTAAAATTGATGGTGTTTGGGAGGATTATTTGATTTATTTTCATTAAGACATATATTTTTTTGTTTACTACAAAATATAAAATCATTAATGAAATTGTGTAGAGCATTATCCAGTAGTAACTTAGTTGATAGAGTTAGCGTGTTCGAGTTCCCAAATGCTTGTTTGGCATTTTTGCCTGTTATTATATATATATGTATATATAAAAGAGTATTTACAAGGAACAAATATTTATAAAAAATACTTTATATAATATTTAATCTTTAAATGCCAAATAGGCCCAAGATAATCTTGATATTAAACTTCTTTTACTAAAAAAAAATAAAATATTAAACATATTATGAAAAGATACCCAATGAGAAATTCATAAAACATGTATGGGTATGGTTATTTTTATTTTTTTGTCCGGAAAATAATACTTTAACTTCACTCAAACTTTAAATTTTAACCTTCCACTTAAAAAAATAAAAAAATAAAAAATGAGGAAATATTAGTACTACTATTCAAGCTGTTTTGATTGTAACTGCGGAACACGCGCCAACTATGAAAGTGGAGTTAGTGGCATTAACTGAGAGATTCAGATCTGAAGAAAGTACTGTGGAATTAAAAGATAAGAGAGATATAAGAGGAGAGAGAGAGAGGGGGGGTTAGAGAGAGAGAGAGTTGGGCTGTCGATCGATCATCTGAAGAGTCAATCTTTGGAGTCTCGCAAAAACAAACCATCGAAAGAGAGAAAATCTCTGCCTCCAAACTAAAAACCCATTTGGAATTTTGTGTCAAATCCCTCTTTCTCTCTCTACCTGCCACCGTCTGGTCGGCAACGAAGCTTCTGCTCTCTGCCCCCCCTCTCTCTCCTCTGTCAAACACTCTGTTTTCACTCGCTTTATCTCTCTACCCTTAAATCCCTTCACACCTCGCTTTGTGTGTAATATCAAATTCATCACATTAAATATCACTCGTAGTGTTGATTTTGTTTCTGCAACTGAAAATGTTTTGATTTCAAATATTTGTTGATTCAGAGTCTTCCACTACCTAGATCAGAGTGAGACTTCTAGAGAGAGATTTGTGCTTTGATTTATGATTAGATGGAGTTCTAATTCATGGAGGCTCAAATGTGAGAGAAATTGTTCAGGGATGTGTTTGGTTCGTGCTTAATTTTGATTTAGTAGTGTGTTGGGTCCGAATAAGAGTTTGTGGCTTCACACTATCAAGCGTAGCAAAGGTACTGTTTCTCTTTTTCTTTTTACGCATTGTACCTTTGTTTGGTTCCTCAGAAAACAGATAGATAGAAAGAGAAATGGAAAACTAATTAAAATTTCAACACATTTTTTTTTTAAAAAAAAAAAAAAAAAAAAAAATCGCGATGTTTTGTTTTCTGGAAAATGAAAATACAACTAATTTTAGCCAACTTGGTTTTATCAGACTTTGGTTTACCATAATTTTTTTTTTCTTTTTTCCCATTTCAATTTTTGGGTATGAGTCGTAATTGATAAAAATTCTCCTAAAGAATCAATACTTTGATCTATTATGTTTTCCTCGACCAAACACAGCATATATATATATGTACATATAAAAATTTTAAGTTGACAATTTTTTTTTTTTTTTTTTCATGGTGTTATGGTTTCTGGAAAATGAAAATACATCCTAATTTTAGCCAAGTTGGTTTACTAATATTTTCTTTCTTTTTCCCCTTTTTAATTTTTGGGTTTGAGTCCTAATTGACAAAAATTCTACTATGAATCAATACTTTGATCTCTTATGTTTTCCTACATTTTCTCAGCCACCAAACGAAGCATTTATGTATTTTAAGAGTCAGTACATAATTTCTTTAACCTCTAGTTAATTATTTGGCTTAAATATGTGTTCTTTTGATAATAATTACAGCAACTACTGAATTCAGAAGGGAAAAAAGGAATTATATGCTATAAAGGGTTAGATCACAATGATTACAGTTATGAATTCAGTGAATAAACCAATGAATGATTTGGAGAAGTGCTTGGATTCCCAGTTGTGGCATGCCTGTGCCGGAGGGATGGTACAAATGCCACCACTGAACTCAAAGGTCTATTATTTCCCTCAGGGCCATGCAGAACATGCCCATGGCTTCATTGATTTCGGGAATTTTTCGAAAATTCCCGCAGTCATGCTATGCAGAGTATCAACCATTAAATTTATGGCCGATACTGAGACCGATGAGGTTTATGCCAAGATAAAATTGGTTCCTTTGAGAAGTGATGATTGTGATTTTGATGATGGGTTTTTGGGGATTGATAAGACTGAGAGTCCAGAGAAACCTGCTTCATTTGCAAAGACATTGACACAGTCTGATGCGAATAACGGTGGGGGTTTCTCTGTACCTCGGTACTGTGCTGAGACTATCTTTCCGGGGTTGGATTACACGGCAGAACCCCCGGTTCAGACCATCCTTGCAAAGGATGTGCATGGTGAGGTTTGGAAATTTAGGCATATTTATAGAGGGACTCCACGCCGTCATCTTTTGACAACGGGGTGGAGTAATTTTGTGAACCAAAAGAAGCTTGTTGCAGGGGATTCAATTGTGTTCTTGAGAGCGGATAACGGGGATCTTTGTGTTGGAATTCGGCGGGCAAAGAGGGGAATTGGTGGTGGAACGGAGTCACCATCTGGTTGGAACACCTTAGGTGGGAATTGTGCCCCTACTTATGGGGGGTATTCCGCTTTATTGAGAGAAGATGAGAATAAATTTATGCGGAATGGTAATGGAGGGAATGCGAATGGTAATGGGGGTTTGAAGGGAAAGATAAGAGTGAGGGCCGAAGCTGTTATTGAAGCTGCAAGTCTTGCTGCCAACGGACAGCCCTTTGAGGTTGTTTACTATCCGCGTGCAAGCACCCCTGAGTTTTGTGTGAAGGCTTCATCTGTGAGAGCTGCAATGCGGAACCAGTGGTTGCCTGGGATGAGGTTCAAAATGGCTTTTGAGACGGAGGATTCGTCGCGGATAAGCTGGTTCATGGGTACCATCTCTAATGTGCAGGTTGACGACCCCATCCGTTGGCCTAATTCTCCATGGCGTCTTCTCCAGGTACATTAAGTAGCAATTACTTATTATTCATGCAAGTTCTTTTCCTACATATTGTTAATTATTAGATTCTTTTTAGGAAAAAAACAAATTTATTAGATTCTGCCTTGTATTCCATTTTAACTGTTGAGTTTGAATGGTTATTCTTGTGGAATTTAGTGTTTTGCTTTGAAATAATTAAAATGTGGTACTTCTTAGTTTTTGCTTCATTAAGTTTAATTATCAATTTTAGTTTTTGCTTCATTAAGTTTAATTATCAATTTTAGTTTTTGCGGCATGTATGTGATACTTGGCCACTGTATAAAGTGCTGTTAATATTAATAGAGTTGAATATTCAATTTAAATATATATTAAGAAAGCCTCTTTTGGCAAAATATGTTCAGGAAGTTGTGTATCACATTGAAGTTATTATCATTATAAAATAGAATATTGTTTAAATAGTATGCTAGACAAACTTCAATTTGCTCATTAATTTTTCTGCAAAATAGCACAGCTGTAGTTTAGAGTCCAATTGAGGGAAAACTGTTATGAAATAGATACGATTTGCTTTTCATGGCTGTAATATAAACATGGGGCCTGATTGCATAGAGCGGTCCATTCTACTGATTACTAAGATGGGCAATTCCGGTGGCCTTCCCTACCGATTTTTTAAAACTAGAACTAGTTCGTTTATTTGTTCATTTGCTTCTAGCTTTTCTTGGCTTAAACTTCATGTTTCAGGTAGCATGGGATGAGCCGGATTTACTTCAAAATGTGAAGCGAGTTAGCCCGTGGTTGGTTGAATTGGTGTCAAACATGCCCACCATCCACCTCTCCCCCTTTTCACCTCCAAGAAAGAAATTGCGGCTTCCACAACCTCCAGATTTCCCCCTTGTCGGGCAATTTCCAATGCCACCATTCCTCAGCAACCCCCTTAGGTCCAACAGTCCCTTGTGTTGTATACCAGACAACATTCCTGCAGGCATACAGGGAGCCAGGCATGCTCAATTTGGACTACCTTCACCAGATCTCCACTTCAACAAACTGCAGTCGGGTCTGTTTCCAGTCGGTTTTCAGCAACTTAATCATGCTGCCCCACCTTCTCGAATCTCCAACGTCGGCTTCAGAGACAATCCTGAAAGCAAAAAGAATATATCTTGCTTGTTGACGATTGGAAACTCTACCCAAAGTGAAAAGAAAAATACTGATATCAAAGCACCTATGTTCTTGCTGTTTGGTCAACCCATTCTAACTGAGCAGCAGATCTCTCAAAGCTGTTCTGATACGGTCGGAAACAATTCATCAGACGGGAATCCGGAGAAGACGGCAAATAACTCCGATGGCTCAGGATCAGCAGTTCTGCAGACTAGTCCACCGGGGAACTCATCAGATGAAGGGATTCCCTGGTACAAGGATCACCAAAAATCTGAGTTTGGCTCGGAGACTGGTCACTGCAAGGTGTTCATGGAATCGGAGGATGTGGGTCGGACTCTTGACCTGTCAGTCCTCGTGTCATATGAAGAACTGTACAGCAAGCTGGCCAAAATGTTCGATGTAGAAAGATCAGAGATGTTGAGCAATGTGCTCTATCAGGACACAGCCGGTGTTGTTAAACACATTGGAGATGAACTCTTCAGGTAAATATAATGCGTCTTTCTTCAATAATTATTTTTATACCAAGTGAGGTTAATGACCTTGTGGAATATTAATGGTTATTCCTTTTTGTTCTTCTTGTTGTGGTGGTTGCAGCGATTTCTCAAAGACGGCAAGAAGGCTCACAATTCTAACGGATTCAGGCAGTGACAACTTGGGACGGTAGAGCAAAACCGACTTTCCGTTTTCTTTTTCTCAAATGTACAGTTGAATCATCAAGTGTTTCGTTTCAGTTGTTGAATTTTGTTTTCCTTGAATTTTGGGAGTTGTGGGAGAAGCCTGCTTCATCCAATTTTGGGATGTTTAGCACAATTAATGTAGCTTTGCCCTTGATTTGTCTTTTACATGAATCGTTTCTGAATTGTTTGTTCATCGCATACTTTATTCTGTATATTGTTGGTTTTAATTCTAGTTGCTTTAGAAATTTCTATAAATTTATGGTGTGCTTGAAATGTTGAATCGGTGGTTGATTAATAGCATTTGTCAATGTTTTGAAAGTTTTGGATCTCACGTTGATGTCAAGTTCTTAGGTGAATCTTTGTCTTTTCAAATTCTTGAATCAGTGGGATTGTTATCCATTGTTTCAAATCCTTGACCCTGAGGAGAGAATCATAACCACTTTTGTTCGGCCAATCACCATTTGACATCTAAGCAAAGGATCAAAACCCAATCACTATTTGATATCTAAGCAAATGTGGCGAATATGAGCAAAGCTTTATTCGCAGCTTTTTACTTAGATGTTAAATACTGCCTGATTGGTTTGTGGTCACGTAATAATTCCCGGTTATAACTAGAATTCTCAATTTCAAATAAAGAAATTGAGACTCGGGTGCTTCTCTTATCGCTCTGTTTTTGTTCTCTTGAAGATAAAAAATTGAAAAAATCTGAACACTTGATGGATCAATTTAAACTATCAGATTGAAAAAATTATTCCACAAGAGTTTATCATTATATTACAAAAAAATCTGAACAAATGATCTTTAGATTAAATTGATTTACCAAATGTTCAACAACCATACAAAATTTTTCATAAGGAAGAATAAGGTTCTTTGACATTGCTTTTTACCATATAATGAAAATAGTGAGTAATTATTTTTTTATCATGTCAAATGAAAGTGAAGGAAGAGAAATTGGTGTATGATCGAAGGAAAAAAAAAAACACTACATTGTTTTTTCTCTCAATAGAAACATGGTAGTATTTGTTAGTAGAAAGTCTAATATATATATATATATATATATATATATGAGGAAGGGTATATAAGTGTAATCTTCTTCTTCACTGATAAATACTTGGTAAAATTATAATAAATTAGTGGATGTTATTTTAAGCAAAGGGTTTGACTTTGAAGTTGCAACCATAGGAACCTACTCTAGTGCCGCAAGTGTTGGAAAATATATCTAGGTTTTGCATTGGGATTTGAATTTGTTATAATTAATGAAATAATTAGGCCTAAAGTCAAGGATTAACCTGAGTAATTGACTGCTTTAAGCCACACGAGATCTGTTTTGTTGGTCAAATGGCACATATTGTGACCTTTTTTAGTTACTGTTTAGACAACACAAAGATTATGGAGTCAGATTGTCAACCACTATATATGAATCCACATGATGCCCTAGCATATTTCAAATCGGACATTAGAGACATAGATCTCATCTCATGGAAATATTATTAGGGGAATTAAATAGAACTCGGAAAATGATTATATGTCAAAGGCTTGATATATATATGTGTGTGTGTGTGCAGTAGTTTGTCAATTCATGAGAGAACATTAAAATTAGGGTTTGATAAAAATAAAAAAAAAAGTTTTTACTACATAACCTCTAAGGGTATATGTAACACCATTACAAAAGTAAATGGTCGGTTCGGTGCAAAGTACTCTCGTCATTGTAGAACTAAAGAGGCATACATTTCTGCAATTTTATTGAGTAAATAACTAGTTCAATGCATAGATTTGGAGAGGTTCACATATCTGGAGTTTTATCAAGTAAATAGTTAATTTAGTGCACGTTACTCTTTGAATTTGGAGAGACTCATATGTGGCCAGCTCATTCAGGAAAGAAAAAAAGTAAATGGCTAGCTCAGTGCACGATATTCCCCCGTCATTACGAGATCTAAAAAGACTCTTATGTATACAGTTTAATCACGTAAATGGCTAATTCAATGAATAATACTCCATGTCATTGTGAAATTTGGAGAGCCTCGTATGTCCGTAATTTTATCAACTAATGGCTACTCCAGTGTACCATACTCCCGTTATTGTGAGATTTAGAAAGGTCCGTGTGTCAAAAGTACCATCTACAGATGCTGAGAGACTGGTTTCTTGATTAATTAATAAGATTGTGCATCCCTGTGGAATATATATATTTGTATAAATATATATATATATATATGTAAGCGCGTGGAAGCCAAGTGTAAGGAAGGCAAAATCAAACAGCGTGTGAAATTAGATCAGAGGTGTTTTTGACATTTAGTACTGCTAAAGCAACGGTAAGTGTTTTGGACATAAAGTAAGGTACAGGCGGCAAAGATGACGATGTTTACAGACAGACATTGACATTATTAGACACATTCCCCATGCGTGGTTTACGGATAGGGACCCACTAATATACATATATTATATACATACATACATACTACAATTATTAAACTCTTCAACAAACAAGTTGGGTTCACGTGAGGGCCTTCTCGTTCAACCACTTCGGAACAACGTTCGCGCCGTTTCGATGGTTGGACCCTCTCTCTCTCTCGTGTCCCTCGTTTCCCTCTCTCTCTCTCTCTCTAAAATGTTTCAATGTGCTAACCGCTTCACCCGCTAAACGGTCTCTTACCTAATCATTCAGGTCAAATTTTTATAATTTCTATGCATCAATTCAAAATTACACTTTATATCAAACATATTACAAGCGTTAATGTTTTGAACAACAAAAAAGCTAATCAATTTCATATATGTATATATATATTGGATTTTGATAAGAAATTCACACATTCAAGTGGTCTTGAAAAATTTAAACTGACTTTTCATTTTGGGAGGCAAAGGAGAGGTTCAATTATGTTCGTTTGTTGTATAACTCGTGTGCTTTACAATATTATAGGGCTGAGATCATTTCACATAGTAGTGCATTCTACAAATATAGTAGTCAAACTGATTGAAAATGTCACTTGATCAAGTAACTAAATTTAAAAAGTTGAGTTATGTTTTAATTCAATTTACATGGGACATTCTCTTTATTATTATTATTATTATTATTATTTTATTTTGAGTTAATTTCACTTATCTTTCTTGAAGTTTGTTAATGTCTCACACAGACCCTTTTTATGTTTTATAATCTCACTTACATTTCTTGAAGTTATGATTTATGTAACAAAATTTTCCTTTATTTGACTATTTTGCCCTTCTAATGTCTGAAAAGATAGTAAAAATTAACTCCAAAGAGTTGGTCTAATTAGAAAAGACTTAGGCCATGGTATCTCATGAAGTATTGGGTCTCAGGATCGATTCCTGCTATGTGCAAGTAATTTCTTGGAGGGGGGTGTGTGAGTAGAAAAAAAAAATGATAGCAAAGATTTCATTACAGAACGATAAAAAGTCACTAACATGGGAGACAAGTGAGATTACGAAACGTAGAAGGGGTTTATGTTGAATATTGACAAACTTAAGAGGTGGTTAGTGAAATTAATATTTTATTATTATTATTATTATTATTATTATTTGGGTGTAACAAACAAACTAATGGAACCTATAGTGGTAAAAAGTTGTCCACATAGAATAGTCAACGAAAGAAATCCAAAATCTATTTAAGCCAAACGCAAAAGAAATTCAAAAAGTAATGGTAGAAGTAATCAAAATCTATTAAACTAATTGAGCTATGTCACTATCATAAATAAAAAGGGGTTTAAATGTGCACGAGGACAAGTCGTTGAATATGAGGAACTCAATTTAAAGCGACATTGTTTGGGTTGAAATTTAATATTACTGAGTAACCAAGATCCAAGAATTCCAGAGTGATGTTTCATAAAGATGAGTCAGAGTCAAACCCTAGAAATCAGGTTACCATTGCCCCAAGTTTCCAACCTGTTATCCATTCTATTTTCTTCATACTTATACAATCATTGAAATGCAGGGGAACATAGAAAGAACATGGAACTATGGGTCGGTTAGTTTAATTTGTATTCTCGATTCAAGCCAACTGACTTTTATCTCAAAACATCATTGTGTTTTTAATTTGGTATCCAAAGTCAATAAGATAAGGCTATAAAGCTAGCCTCCCCATGACCCCATTTGTGCGTGCGTGTGTGTGTGTATGTTATTTTTCTATGCAAAAATGTAAATTGAACAACTTCTATATATGTTATTTTTCTATGCAAAAATGTAAATTGACCAACTTTATTTATCCACAGTAGAACAATATCCTCTAATTTAATTGTTATGTATCTTGTTATATGTTGAACTCTTAATGCGATATAATTTAGGGAATAAGTTTGAACGCATTATCACAATTCATCATGTGATAATGTAGAGATATTCAACTCATAAGAAAATCGTTACCATATGAGCATAACATATTTTTATTTGTATTTACAATTTGCATTTTTCTTTTTTTCAAGGCAATAATGTTAGATTAGAAGTTACAATGTGAATGCTTGAAACTGCAGACAATGGAAAGCGACTCAACCATTGGGTTATGACAGCATTTTTGCTTTTAAGGTTCATTTACATAGTTTTGGCACTTTTTAGAGTAATAATATTCAAGTCTGAATCATTCCTCATATATTACTACATTAATTTAAGATAGTTTTCGCTCGCTCCCACTCTCACTTTGTGATGAGAGCCCATCTTTGTCTTAGTTGAGTCTTTTAGTGGCATGTTTCGGTCCTCTTTCCCATTACTTAGAAAAAGTGAGTTACCGGTTCAGGTACAAGATACTATCATTACCGCCTGAAAATTAGATATCCAACCCGTAATCACAACGACCCAATTGCAAGAGCGAAGCTCTACCAACTGAGCTATATCCCCCCAAGCCAAGTGGAGCATGCATGAAGGTCGCTCGCTCCCACTCTCCTGCTCTGTGATCTGAGCCCTCGCTCCCACTCTCAACTCACTTTGTGCGCCTTATATTCTGTCCTGAGTTACTGCTCTGTGATCTGAGCTTTCGCTCCACTCTCACCTCACTTTGTGTGCCTTATATTTTGTCGTTAAGGTATGAGTCCCACCAAATCAGTGGGTGTAGCACGACTGGTATTATCGAGACCTCTTACTTTGCCAGTGAATGCCCCTGATGAATTTTAACGTCCAAGTGTAATTGGTTTGGTTTTCTTTTGCTTCTGCTATGTCAAATTTGGTAGCAAAAGATGGCTTCAAGCATTGCAATCACATGTTTTTTTTTTTGATAAGTCAAGCATTGCTATCACATATATACCCATCCTTGCCTAAAAAGTAAAAAACACCATCATCACATAGCTTACTGCTTGTAGAGAAAGAAAAAAAAAAAAAAAAAACAAACTACATAGATGGATTAGATGCTAGAAGGATTTTAACCCAAGCATATTTATCTACAAAAAAATTATGATGTACCACAGACATCAATACAACTAATATATGCATGTATGTTTACATTTATGGGTGTACCTCCGTATATAGTTGTATAAATATATCATGAACTCCTTCATCCTGGCATATATAACCCAAGCCTTTCATTAGAGAGCGCACTCATTTTCAATCCAACAGCTAAGGAGGTGCAATCGATCGGATTATATAGATATTCCTTCAACACAACAGAGGTCATCGAAAGGATCTCGGTAACCCACCAAAGAACGAAAGCCAGGATCTTTAAGAAAATGGATTCATTTTCAAAGAGTACATAACCGCATGGATAATAAGCTCACACTAACCCGTCGGGTGACACCACTCCATGATATCAGGATTACAAGAAAACAAATAAAAGTCTTAGTGGTCCAAGGGGCACTAGTGGAAACAACAAATTTCTAGCCAAAATGGGGAAATCAACAAGGAACACCCAAAATGCTCAGAAGTGTTGAGCGAAACAAGGAAGTGACTTGCTCCATTTTCTGAACGAAATAAAACAAGAGTTATAATGCAGTTACCATAAAAGTGGTTGCATGGTCTTATGGAAACCTAACTAATTCCAGTCCAAACATATAATGCATTATGTGTGAACATGTTCCTACTGTGAGAATTCAGTTTTAAGAACAAGCACTTCACATACCACTCATATAAATCCCCACAAGCATATAATAAAGTCAGTAGTAGCTTTTGCTTATATAATAAGCAAGTCCTATTTCATCAGTAACAAGGCATTACATGGATTACGGAAAGGAGAAAATTACTAGGAAACTGCAGTGAACTTGACACTGATCTTCCTTCATCAAACATCTTCACCCTACTCCTGCTTCCAAGATGCCCATTCCACACGATACTATATCACACCTGAGTAGAGGGGGAGAAAAACTCAAGTAAGCTTCTAATTTCAAAACTTTTCTATTGAGGAAAACCAGTAAACCTCTCGGAACAAGATGCAAATTTTACAGATGATTCTTCAGTCTGATGTCTAATAAAAAAACAAAACAAATTTTAGGAAATATTACAGGTTCACAGCAGCCAAAGTGAATGCAACAAATACAGCTATTCTCAGTGTTATCAAAGGCCCGAGGCACAATAAGGCGCACGAGGTCCTTTGGAGCAAAGGTGCGCAATCGAAAAATTAAATTACTATTAAAGCATATTAATATTCAATATTCAAGGCGCAAATGTTGTCAAAGGGGCACCTGGCCACACAACAGGCGCAAGTGTTGCGCCTGGACCCTAGGCGCGCCTTTAACAACACTGGCTGTTCTTGTGCAATATTTTCCCTCAAGACATGTATTCTTTTTCCTTCATAAGCATATATTGCATCAAAAGATCATCAAAGTTAAAAGAAGCCTCACATGGTTGGAAAAACAAAAAAATAAATTTTCATCCAAGCAAGTGATGGGAGTGTGTGACAACACGTGGTAGAAAATAATTACTACTTATATAATAGAAGGTGTGTGAAACTCCACAGGCACCACTAACAGTATCATCTCTTACTGCCCAACTTAAATCAGAATTCTATACAATGTAGTTGAAATAAGACCCAAGATTTTGCTTTGCAATACATGCCATATAAACCAAAAAATGGTACTTTCCTAAAAGCATTAATAGTTGCTGAAATTTCAAACCCCATTTTCTCCAAGGGCAAGAATCTATTACATCTATCACCGAACAATTCTATGTAACAACAGATTTTGCCATCTCATTATGTATACACTTTTTTAAACTAGGAAATAATAAGTTATGCAAGTAGTAAACAACCAAAGCAGCCATACGATTTTATGTAATTGCAATAATTCAAACTTCTAGAGATTTGTTATGCCAGTGAACAATGTAATAATACACTAAACCATGCATAATCATTTGTATCAGCCCAAATGCAATAATAGTTGGAGAAGGAATTCGCAGTAAAGATCCGTGTCGCTCCCTCCATGTGTATGAAAAAGAAATATCACAATTTCACATAAATAAGTGATCAAATTCACCATACTCTAAGATATGTATTGTAACCATGAGCCAATACAAGTGTTCAGGCAATGTTAGAAGGGCAGCCTGAAATTTTAGAAGAAAAATGAATGACAATTTTTGTTTTTATTTTCTGATAAGTGAGACAACACACACATCCCAACAGACAGTTGAACCCTATACCTCTCTCCTTAGGAGTGGCAAGACATACCACTCGAGCTTATAGTTGGTCGTATATAGTGTGCGATAGAAATTTCAATGAGGGGATGTTTTGATAGATATACAAATACACAAACACACACAAAACAAACTCTTGGAAAGATTGACAGAGCCATACTTGGAAAAAAAAAGAAAAGGGATTGACAGAGCCATCAAACATATCATTTCACTAAGTAGGTAAGTATCCTTTTGCTTGTGGGAGAGGTGAACTATCTTAAAGAAAGATAATAACCAAGGTTTTACATAATTTTTACTATGATGTAAAAGAGAAATAAAGTTTGAATCCAAAAAATTATGCAAGGAACTTAAATTTAGAGAGAACTTGATGCCATTTAGTAATAAAACACTCAACAAAAAAAAAGAAAAAAAGAGAAGGAATTTAAGAGGAGAAACTAATTATATATGGGACAAGATGAGTCATCATCAAATTAAAAGATTAACAAGAAGATCCTTGACGAGTTGTAGCATATGATTCAATGGATTAGATAGAGAGAGAGAGAGAGGTGTGGACGTCGTATGTTACTGATCAAGGAAAAGCAAAAGCATAAGTTACCCTATTAAGAAAATTCTGAAATATCTTATGAATTTCAAAGCCTTACAAAATCAAATTGAGGGGAAACTAGCATCAGAAAAGCAAAAATCCAAAGTATTTAACTTCAAAAAATGTAATATATGATGCTATTGTTCTTTAATGATATACTTGACTAGTAATTAAAATAAATGAGATATGGTGAAAAAAGAGGTTTTCATCTATCTCAGAAATAGGAACCTTTATGTAAGATCATAATTTAAACCTTTTTCTTCTTCCATCATCATATGCGAGTTCTTGATCCATTGTACCCATGTTGTGTTACTTATATATATATATATATATTGTCCCATTTGCATGTGGAGGAGAATAAGAGAGACGACACATTTAAAATTTGTCAAAGATGGGATAACCATTACGTTAACGAGGTTGCCAATGACTGTGCCAAGTCCAATTGATTGGTCGGGCATCGTCATAAAGAAACACACAATGGTCTTCAATTCAATTACTTATTGAAAAATAAAAAGGATTTTTTTTACACCTCTCGTTTGGCTTAGGTTATGAACAAACTTTGGATGATGAAATAAGATCCAGTATGTAAGTTTTCAATAATAACACGATCAAGTTATTGCAAGGAAAGCTTGAACCATTGAAAGTTGAAACCAAAAAGACATGATTTAGATTAAAGAGATAAGCATGATACCAATCTATAAACTGTGATTTCAGACTATTTCAGTAAAACTAAAAAGTGAAAACAAGACAATTGTGTATATCTATATCCAATAGCTACCAAAGGCGACAATTATCATAAAAGTAAAATCAGGTTGCAATGTCTTATTGTATTAGAACATTGTGTCATTTAATTGTTGAAACAGAGTTCCTCTAGTGAAAGGTTCAAAGCTGTTGGATTACTCATCACTCCAATCTCCATAACACCAATCTCATAAGTAAAAAACGAGTTTTATATCTTCCGATATGAAGAGATAGTTTCTATAGAACATATGCTTTTAGTGCCTGACCTTCTTTCAGGAATTTTGACATGTTTGCACATGCATCTTATTCCACAAGATAATTTGTTAACCAGTTGTGCTTCAGTTCAGTCGGCTAAATTTGTAACCCTCCTAATTTTTTTCTTTAGTCCTATAGAGTCGCAGTGGATGTCTTGCTCGTCCCTCCTTTCTCAATGAACCGTGACCAGGGTCACACAATACGCCTATATTGGTGAGCGCTTTATCGCTCCAAACACAGTGACATTTTGAGAGTGAACGTGCTAAGAATCCGCTTGCTGAATTTCTAGAATTCACAGATTGCAATTCCCAATCTGGGGTTGGGCAATAGTAATTTGCAAGTATCAGTGCGTTGACACGTTAACTCAGGTCACTAATGCTTAAGGAATGCTAGTCTCTCTCTGCACACATGTACATGTGTATTTGCTGCTTTGAATTTAAAAATATGTGACAAAGCCAAGATTCAACTTGTAACCAACCTTTCCAGGAAAGGCATAGGATGTTTCCAACAAAGCCATTACATTATGAGATTGTGTGCACTGATTTATTTTACTTATCCTATAACAATCAATACTGAATTCACACATATACATATATATGCTCTAAAAAATAATAGCACATTTAAATTTAATTGACACATATGATTGTACACTATGTGGATGCATGTATAATGTACAGATAATTGCTTGCTCCCGCTCTAAGATAATTTTAGAGAGAGACACTCTCCCTCTCCCTCTCCGTGTAACTTTAACATCAGATCCACAATCATTAACTATCATCAGCCACAAAATTTTCGATTAACAGTCCTTACTGCTTCAAGTTGAGTACTTTGATTCTTCTCAAGGCATGCACACAAACAGAGACAATCACAATGCATATTCCATCAATTCAAAACAAAACAAGAAGCCCCAACATTAACAACTGAACAACGATAACATGCATAAATAAATTAACAAGAGAATATATATATATATATATATATATATATATATATATAATTATCCGTAGAAAGAACAATCAAACTTGTGTTTACTTGCAAACAAATAAGCGACTAAGAAGAGTTAATAGCATAAAGAGACCTGATTGATATTATTTAGTCATAGTAGAGTTCGAGGCCCATGCCGTCGTGAATTTCGTAGTCCTTGAGGGTTATGTGGTCCTTGTAGATGCTGTACCACTTCTGGATGCGGATCTTATCAGCGCGAGTGCCGGTCTGGGCTGCGACGAGCTTCTTGAGGTCGCCGATGGTGTCGTCGTCGTTGCACTTCACACGAACCTTCTTCCCCAATCGATCGTTCAACACCACCTCAATCATCTTTTCTTCTTCTTCCTTTCCTGCAACTACAAATTCGAAACCCCCGAAACCCTAGAGAGAGAAATTATTGACTAAGAGAGAGAAGACCACGACAACACAAGCCTGTCAACTCGATGAAGGTGGAATATTCGCGTGATGGGGTTTTTAACTTTTTATAGCCGATTAAACCATTTTGGGATTTGGAAAAGGAATAGTAATTGGAATAGGAATTGGAATTTCCATTTATATGTTAAACAAATTGGATATAAAGTTGGATTTGAAATAAAAATAATATTATACTATTTTTGTTCTTATTTAAATGATAAATAAAATATTTATTTTATTATAAAATACAGTATATGACAAACAACGTGAATAACTACGTGATAGAATTAAAACTTAAAATTTATTAAACAAATCAATTTAAAAAGGAACAATTATTTATTAATTAAAAAAACTAATTTATTCAACTACCATCTCCAACATATTAAAAAAAAATGAGAATACTAAAAATGTAAACTTAAACCTAAGCATTGATTTAATTAATATTTTAAATAAGTTCATTTATTAAATACTAAGCACGTTTATTAAAGTATATTAGTTATTTTGTAACAAAAATAATATATATATTAACAAAAGTTTATATAAATATACATTGATAACTGATTATTATATAAATTACTCAGCATATCAATTACTAGCTACTAATTAAAAAGTATGCCAATTAGAAATTGATACACAACAATTTATACACTAAAAAATTAACAAGTATATTAATTGATAACTATACTTTGGCTTCTAGATTAAATTTTTATTATTAATACATTATTCATTTTTTATATAAAAGGCTTGGCTTATAAAAGTGTCATTTTTATTCATTCAATATGTACTGTGTAAATATAAGATTTGTTGTATTAATAATTAAAAGTTTAATATGTAATAGGTTAGAGTAAATAGGGAGATTGTAATAGGTTAAGTAATATTTAACAAGGTTAATTACGAAAATATCATCATTAAACAACATTTATTTTTCAGAATCCATTATTCCAAACACAGCGAAAAGTTATTTTTTTTCTTTTCCTTTTTTGTAAGTAGTTATTTTGTGTAAAAAATTTTAAAAAGAAAAAGAAAAAGAAAATTCTTGATCTATAATTTGGACCTAAATTGAGCCAAATAATATCCAAATTGTAAGCTTATGACTTGATCCTAGCATTATTCGCCATCATATTGTGTGAGTTTATTTATTTATTTAACAAAAAGGGAACAAGATTATCATTTGTTGGAGACGTCGTGGAAACTTGTTAATTTTTTTTTTTTTTTTTTTTTTTCAACAAAAACATGGAAATATACCATGGAAAACACTTTTTATACTCATTTAAAATGAGATGCTCTCCATGTTGACCACTAAACAGAGAAGAATTTTGAGATTTGTAAATGATAAAAAAAAGTCCGACAATCTCATTCACAGAGAGCTCATGACTCTTGTAGTCTTTAAACGTTATCGACTAATAAATTACATAAAACATGATAAATTGCATAAACAAGGCAAAGAAGTTCTGCCAAAGGGTATAAATACCAGAACCTGGCATTTAAATCACTTTACAAGCTCAGGTTCAACCAGCAAAGAATTGTGCGCAGACTTGACGAAATGCCATTTACAATACAAGCAGGAAAAAGTTATTGGCACATGTTAAGCATTATGACCACCATAACTTAGGGCTGCAACATATGCAGATACATCTTTAGTGTGTATGTACAACAACCAAGTGCCATATATCCTTACATTATATCTTATATCCTACATACATTATCTTTCAATATTTTTTCCTTTTTTTTTTTTTTCCTTACCCCCAATGGTCCTACAAATCTAAGCGGCGATCGTGTTGTTTAGGAGCTTCATCATGAAGCTGAACTTGACATCCGGAGAGGTTTTGGGTTGGGGCCACTTTGCTCCTTCTGGCACTTTGATACATTTGAAACCTTGGCCTTTGTACAACCTTGTGGCCCCCTGGTTGTTTAGGTCACAGTGCAGTGCAATGGCACGGCAGCCCCAACTTCTGGCTTGAGCCTCTGCTTTCGCTACAAGCCTTTTTGCTACTCCCTTTCTTCGAAATTCCTCCCGAACTGCAACATTTGATACGTATGCAATCCCAGTCCTATGATTCATACCTCAATTGTGAGAAAAATGTAACTTCCAGCAAGTTAATGAACTGTAAAAATTGATATCGCGCATATAAACTGCTAACAGAACTGGGATATAGAAATAACCACAGATAGATTATACCAACGTAATAAAAAAGAAACAACTCAGAACAGATTATACTAACATCCTCTGTCGACTCTCTGGCATAACCAATTATGCAACTAACTTCTAGGTTTAACAAAATCAGACTTGCAGCAGTAGAACACACACCGTCAAGAAAAAATGCTGCAAAGCGCATAGCCCAGATGGAAGAACTAAATGCTTTGTTGCATTGAACTGAGTGAATAACAGATGAGCATAAAAACAAGCCTTTTTTTTTTTTTTTTTTTTTTTTTTTTTCTAACATTTCTTTTTATGGCCTATACTTCCAGCAAGTTAATGAACTCTAAAAATTGATATCGCGCATATAAACTGCTAACAAAATTAGGATATAGAAAGAACTACAGATAGATTATACGAACGTAATAATATAGAAACAACTCAAAATATATTATACTAAACTCTCTGGTATAACCAATTATGCAACTAACTTCTAGGGTTTAACAAAATCAGACTTGCAGCAGTAAAACACACACACCATGAAGAAAAAATGCTGCAAAGTGCAGCCCAGATTGAAGAACTACAAATGCTTTGTTGCATTGAACTGAGTGAATAGCAGATGAGCATAAAAATTTTTTTTTTTCTAACATTTCTTTTTATGGCCTTTACTTGTGAATAGGTACAACAAGGGCACTACTAATGTAAGTTTCTGCCATGTTGGGAAGTGACATTTTACGCGTAAAGGCCATAAAAAGATTCCCCCACATTTTGTGAATAATCTCTCTTCAGCAAATTACTTTGTTAGTTACTTTGTTACATATAGTTCCAAATAGTTGAACAAGAAAGTAAATTATCGACTATATTGATTATATTCAATATAAATAAAGAATACAAAGAACAAGAAAGTAAATTATCGACTATATTGATTATATTCAATATAAATAAAGAATACAAACATCAGTCCCCCCCCCCCCCCCCCAATGGATCAGCAACTTATGATCTCTCATACAACTATAGTTTGTATAATCTATATAGATGGTATTTATCTATTTCAAGTTTTGTGGAAATATCATGTGCCATGGAAAATATGTCTCTCTCAAGTTCCTTATAGCAGACATGCTTTTGGACATAGGTGTTGAGTGGCTTCATGGCCAACACTCATGACCTTGGGAAGCTTGGTTACTGAGTGAGGATTCGATGTAGATTGCCTGGACACAATTCAGAATGCTATTACAGGGGATCTTGGTCTTGAATCCACCACTGGTGCCACACCACACTAGGCACTAAATGAGCTTCCATGAGGGGTTGTTGAGTGGAATTTGGATATCCACCTTGAGCCCCCATGGTGGCATCCTTGTCTCATGGATAGTGTGCTAACAGAGGGCTACAGGACATGTGCCCCAAGGGCTAGAGGCTAATATCCATTAGGTACTCAGAGTACGGAGCATTTTCTCGGTCATCAGAGATGCCATGTGCTACATCACACGTGTGTTAGCCTGTTAGGCTTGAGTTTGGCCATGCTCACAAGATTTTGTGGCACAAATGGCATGCCTACTACCCTGCATTGCTTACTAGTTTAGCTTGGATTTTCTCTCTTGGGTTGTTAAATATTTTTATGCATCTTTATTATTATTATTATTTTATTTGCATGTAAAGATCATTAGGTTACCTACCAAAAAAAACAGGATCTTTCTGTTACATAGTCACACATAAATGTTTTTCTTTGGTCAGGTGAGAGTATGAGAATTATATGTAGGCTAATTGTTCACTCGATCCTCAAGAAGGTGGGCCTTGACTAGGGATAACTGGTGCAGCTCAAAAAATTCGTATCTCCAGAAAATTTTCGCGCCATGACACTATAGCAAAATTGCATTAGCAAATTTAAGGGGAAAAAGTTGCACACAGCACTTCTTAAAAGAAGTTTCTTCTTTCCTCTCTTTCATGTATAGGGATTGCAGGAACTATAGTATTTCCAAAAGCAACTTCAAAAGAAGGTCCACTAAAACAGTATCTAACGTTTGTTACATAATAAAAATAATGTAATATTGCTCAAATATCCTCATTTAAATGTCCTAAGAACTTCTAGTTAATTTCACCGAACAAACAGGGCACAATGTGATACTAATTTAGAAATTACCTTTTTCTCAAACTCACAAAAATTCAAGATCTGGATGGTTTAGAAATATGTAAACACATCCTTTTTTCTAATACAAGAAAACCTCTTGATTTACATCACTGTAAATTCGAAAATTTAAGGATGAAACAGTAATAACTAGTAAGCAATTCAAAATTAGTAGGTTAAAATTTCACAATCACAACCCTACAAACTCATTGCATGCTCGGAGACCTCCACAAGCAGAAAGGTTCTTTACACACACATGCACAAGCAGTAATTACATATAGGGAAGGAGACAGTAAATTAACTTCTTCTTTTTTTGATAGGCAAGTTACTCACACACACTCGCTATTGTTTCTATGGGGACTTGAATCCTCAATCTGTCATGTGAGAGGAGAAGGAGATACCACATAAGCTAAAGGATCAGTGGTGGCATAAAATTTATCTACTAAATGGTGATCAATAAAGATATGCATTATTCAGGCAGTACAGATACTTCATAAAAATAACTCGAAAAAGACCCTTTGGATGCATTTCACTCAGAAAATTCGTGCTGGACTTGGCTTTTTCAACTTTCTTTCATAATAAATTTTGTACTAGACAAACGTCAGAGAGGGTGCAAAACATGTAAAAGTGCAGTACATACCAACATAAAACTACTCTCCCTGTTCAAATAACTCTTCTTAGAATCTACAAAATCATGTAAAGATTCTGGATCCCTGACATCCAAAAATGAAAAAGTATCTAACACAATTTTCTCAATCAGTTAACCCTATGCATAGACATCTCTACATCCTCATAATATGATGGTGGCTATCTCCATACTCCACACGAGGGATAAACGAGCTATTGTGAGGCTTGCTGGACATACTCCATAACTCACGAGATGGCAAATGACATGATTTGTGATCTCCTCAACCTTCTTACACATGCATCAATAGTTGGGGTTCATCTTGACCATGTTCCTGGAATTGTCCAACCCCAAAATAACCTCCAAGACTACTGTCCACACAACAGAGACCCTGAATGATACTTGACTTCCAAATTCCTTTTTAAAGGAACCCTGAATTATCATGCTCACGTAATACCAAGTAAAAAGATTTAACACAAAACAAACTGTTCTATCAGGGTTCCACCTCAGCATATCCTTCCTCTCCTTACGCACCCAGGGCTATACTAAACATGTAAAAGGGAATCCACCACAAACAACTCCTAATACTGAAGTGTCTGACGCCTCCCGCAAACTTATATTATCTGAAACAAGATTACCTCTATTCAAGGTAAGATGAAAGAGATCGGGGAACTTTTTTCCAAAGGAACCTTCCCAACCAAACATAATGCCAAAAGCACTCTATGGCCATCACCAATAGCGAACCCAATAAATTTTCAGAACTTGCTCCACACCGTTTCCAGCCAGTAAAACATTCCCCCACATTTTGTGAATAATCTCTCTTCAGCAAATTAATTCTCAGCCCAGACACCACTTCAAAGCATGTTACACATCGAATATTTCTCAATTGGACCCCTCCATCCCACAAAGGATGATGATATCTATGATGTTGCGGCCCAAATTTGGTTCCGGGCCATGTTGTGAACCATTTTGACCCGAGGACCAGTTAATTTTTGACCCTTCTTTTTTTTGCTTGTGGGTCGTGGACCCTGTTTTAGTACTCTCTTGTAGCCCAATATATAAGGGCGTTGGGTTTGGAGTGGAATATTGAGAGACATTGAAAATCGCAGAAAAGAGAGTGACAGCGAGAGCTAGGGATTGGGGGCTGAAACTTGTAATCTCCAGATTTTCACATAGTGAATTCTTTCCCTGGATCATCACCGTGGATGTAGGCTTTGCCGAACCATGTAAATCTTTGTGTTCTTTGTGTGTGATGTGTTTACTTTCTATCGTGTTTCGTGATTGTTTCTTGGGTTTCACTAAGTTTGTTGTAACAATATCATTTACGAGGAGCTAAGAAATTACATTTGAGGTATGTCCTGCCTACCCACCTCAAATCCTCAAAGAGAACCCATTTCTACTATTCAAAAAATCATCCTGCTCAAACTCTCCACCACAATGACAAAAGGGAGAGAGGGATCACACTGCATCAACCCCCTAGAACTCATTAAAAGGACTCCCAGGAATATATAGTGACCAAAATGGATAATTAAGAAGTCGAGATAAACTCCTGAATCCAAGCCCTCTATTTTCCTCCAAAACCCAGCAGTCCATAACATGAAGGAACTGCAATGAATGTGATTATAAGCTTTCTCAATATTCAACTAAACTCTAAGCCCTGACACTGTAATCCAACTCCAGAATCTACACCCAAGATCAAATAGATCATCAACTTACAAAAATTCCTCATTAAGCTGCTTGGCTTGACGTCATTCAAGTCCACTGCCCCCCTTTCTTTGGAATCAAAGCAATAAGTAAAGCATTTATACCGGACTCGAAATCCTCAAACTGAAAAAATGGTGGAAAACTGCCATGGCATCATACCAAACCATATCAGAAAAAAATGCTGAAGGAATGCCACAGTTATACAGTCTGGCCCAGCGTTGTATCACCTATTACAGCTCTTTGAAAGTGAGAGGTTGCTGTAGCCACTCCTCTCCTCCTTCCAGATCTAGCCCAACTCAAGCTCTTGAATCAGAAGACTCCAAGTGCTATCATCCGAGTGAAACCTCTCATAGAACTAGAGAATCCCTCCTCCACATCTTCCCTCTCCCCATCAACCCACAACTAGCCAATATATTTATAGCACCAACTGTTAGCCAATACAATGGAAGAACTTGTTTGTCTC